TCATAAACTAAAAAAAGTCAACACCACAGAAACACAAAAAATTACAAGGATCTAAAAGAGCATGCAGGCTAGCAGAAGAGAGACATGTATCCGATAACTACAATTCAAGGTATTAGATGATAAATATTCAGTTGTTCTTGCTTCTTGAAATGCTCTTTAACATAATCCTCTATTCACTACCTGGAGGAAAATCCTATCACTCCATCAAGATTCATTCCAAATGATTATTTGCCAGTCTAGGCTTTCCTGGCATTCCTCATCTACTCCACCCACCTACCTTCAACCCCAAACACATATATCCAAACCCATTCCAGCAGATTTAATTACTCCTCTGCTCCCAAAGCACTTTACTCATAGATTTATTATAGCATTTATTCAATAATTTGCATTGGTTGTTTATATGTCATGTCTCTCATTGTGTTGTGAGTTCTTCAATAGTAGTTAATGAGGTTTGTTTGTTTTTATCTCTGTGTTCTTAGTCGTTAGCACAGAAACTGGCATATTGTAAAATAAAAGTTTTATTTGGGGAGAAATGAGAGAATAAGCAAACATATGAAAATCAGAGAGATATTTAATATTCATGGGTAGGAATGCTCTATATTGGCAATATGTCCTTTCTTCCCAACTGATTCAATATAATTTTAATCAAAATCCAAACAAGTTAATTTGTAGATGTCAATAAATTGATTCTGAAATTTATACGGAGAGACAAAGGACCCAGGATGGCTAACACAGTATTGAAGAAGAACAACAAACTTGGAAGACTGATACTACCCAACTTCAAAATTTACTACAAAGTTACACCTATCAAGACAGTGTGTCATTAGTGAAGGAATAAATGGGTCAATGGAACAGAATATAGCACCCAGAAATAGACCCTCATAAATAGTCATCTGATCTTTGACAAAGGATCAAATGAAATACAGTTAAGCAAAAATAGTCTTTTCAACAAACAGACTGATGTCCAGTGCTGAACAACTGGACATCATATGTCCAGTGCTGAACAACTGGACATCCACATGCAAAAAATTAATTTAGACACAGACCTTACACCCTGCACAAAAAATGACTCAAAGTGGATTGAAGACCTAAATGTAAAATACAAAATTATAAAACTTCTGGGAGATAACAGAGGAGAAAATCGAGGTGGCCATAGATATGGCGATGACTTTTTAGATACACCACCAAAGGTACAGTCCATGGAAGAAATAATTGATAAGATGAACTTCATTAAGATTAAATATTTTTTCCATGAAAGAGAATGAAAAAACAAGCCACAGAATGGGAGAAAATATTTGCAATATACACATCTGACAAAAGACTGTTATCTAAATTATACAAAGAACTCTTAAAACTCAATGATTTAAAAAAACAGCCTGATTAAAAACTTTATTTTTTAAAATATATTTTTTATTTACTTCAGAGAGAAAGGAGAGGCAGAGAGAGAGATAAAAACATCAATGATAAGAAAGAATAATTGATCAGCTGCCTCCTGCACACTCCACAGTGGGGGGTCAAGCCTGCAACCAAGGAATGTGGAGAATCGAACCCGGAACCCTTCAGTCCACAGGCCAATGCTCTATCCACTAAGCCAAACTGGTAGGATGTGGCCAAAGACTTTAATAGACACTTCACCAAAGAAGATATACAGCCAAAACCAGTTTGGCTCAATGGATAGAGCGTTGGCCTGCAGACTGAAGGGTCCCAGGTTCAATTCCGGACAAGGACGTGTACCTTGGTTGTGGGCACATCCCTAGTAGGGGGTGTGCAAGAGGCAGATGATCGATGTTACTCTCTCATTGATGTTTCTAACTCTCTATCCCTCTCTCTTCCTCTCTCTAAAAAATTAATTAAAATATATTTTTTTAAAAGAAGATATATAGATGGAAAATAAGCACATGAAAAGATGCTCCACATCATATGTCATCAGGGAAATACAAATTAAAATGAGTTACCACTGCATACCTATAAGAATGTCCAAAATCCAGAACACTGACACTAAATACTGGTGAGAATATGGAGCAGCAGGAAATCTCATTCATTGCAGGTGGAAATGCAAAATGGTACAGCTACTTTGGAAGAGAGGCTGACAGTTTATTATAAAACTAAACATGCTCTTACTGCATGATCTAGTGATTGTGCTGCTTGGTATTTACCCAAAGGAGTTGAAAATGTATGCCCACCCAAAAACATGCACATAAATGTTTACAGCAGTTTTATTCATAATTACCAAAAGTTGGAAGCAACCACAGTGTTCTTCAGGAAATTAATGGATAAATAAAATATGATATATCCAGAAAATGAAATATTATTCAACACTAAAAAGAAATGAGCTATCAAGCCATGAAAAGGTCTGGAGGAACCTTAAATGTGTATTATTAAGTTGAAAAAGCCTATCTGGAAAGGCTATATACTGCACCATTCCAACAATATGACATTCTAGAAAAGGCAAAACTATGGGAACACTAAAAAAGGTCAATGTTTGTTGGGGTGGGGAAGAATGAATAAGCAGAGGATTTTTAGAAAAGTGAAAAAAGAGGAGAAGCCAAGATGGCGGCATAAGGTAAACACCTAAATGTAGCCTACCACAACAATTTTAAAATTACAATTGGAAAAGAGTGGACGCTGTCCAGAAACACCAGAAAGCTGGCTGAGTGGAAGCCCTACCAACTAGAAAGAGAAAGAGAGAAAAAAAAGGACGCTGAGCCTCAGGAGCTGTGGAGGTGCGGAGATCCCTCTGTGCAGAAAGGGCGGATGGCTGAATATGCTGCTGGCTTACTCGCGGTGCATGTGGAGAGGGAAGGCAGCTAAAACCTCCCTATTGCACTGATAGCCAGCTCTGGTCAGGGAGAAACTGACTGTCAGGCAGTGGGTGAAACTCAAGAGCAGCCTTATCTCAAAGGCCAGCAGCCACTGCCATGGGACTCAGAGAACAGGCCCCTCTTAGGGCGGGGCTGATGGGAAACCAAAGCTTGTCTGCACCACCCTGAGACTCCGTCCCATCCAAGCTGATCACAGAAACCCTCCTAGCAAGACACTGCTGATCATTACAGCCATTTGCCTTGGAGAGCAACTCTCCCCAATGATAACAACAACAAGCAAGGCTTAACTACAACAAGATTGCTCATACATCTTACAAAGGGCTGCACCAAGAGGATCCACCACAGGTAACTGGGGAAGCTGAGCTACTGGGCTCTGCTAGGACATCTAGCACACAAAGCCACTCCATCAACTCAGGGAAGCAGCTAAAATTCAGAGACAAAGAGGCAGGCCTCAGTTGAAGGAAATGGAGGAAAGCAAACGACTGGATATAGAGTTCAAAACTACAGTTATAAGGTTTTTCAAGAATTTCCTAGAAAAGGCTGATAAATTATACGAGACCCTTGAGGATATGAAAAGGAATCAACCTGAAATTAAGCATACACTGACTGAAATAAAAAATATTATACAGGGACCTAAAAGCAGACTAGAGGATTACAGGAATCAAGTCAAAGGTTTGGAATACCAAGAAGCAAAAAACACTCCTCTGGAAAAGCAAAAAGCAAATAAAATACAAAAAAATTGAAAATAGTGTAAGAAGCCTCTGGGACAATTTCAAGTGTACCAACATAAGAATTATAGGGGTCCCAGAAGAAGAGAGAGAGCAAGATACTGAAAACCTATTTGAAGAAATAGTGACAGAAAACTTCCCCCACCTGGGAAAAGAAATAGACTTACAAGTCCAAGAAGCACACAGAACCCCAAACAAAAAGAATCCAAAGAGGACCACACCAAGACACATCATAATTAAAATGCCAAGAGCAAAAGAAGAAATAGAGAATATTAAAAGCAGCAAGAGAAAAAGAGTTAATTACCCACAGGGGAGCACCCATACATTTGTCAGCTGATTTCTCAACAGAAACTATGCAGGCCAGACGGGAATGGCAAGAAATATTCAAAGTGATGAGCAAGAACCTACAACCAAGATTACCCAGCAAAGCTATCATTCAGAATTGAAGGCCATATAAAGAGCTTCATAAATAAAAATTTTAAAAAGTTAAAGGAGTTCATCACCGCCAAAGCAGAATTATATGAAATACTGAAAGGTATTCTTTAAGAAAAGGAAGAAGAAGATAAAAATTATGAACAACAAATACGTAACTATCAACAAGTGAATCTAAAAACCAAGGGAATAAAAAATCTGATGAACAGAATAAACTGGTGAATATAATAGAATCAGGGGCATAGAAAAGGTGTGGACTGATGATTATCAGGGAAAAGGGGAGTGGGGGTGCAGGAAGAGACTGAACAAAAATTGTACACCTATGGATGAGGACAGTGGGGGGTGGAGGGTTAGGGCAGAGGGTGGGTAGGAACCTGGTGGAGGGGAGCTATAGAGGGAAGAAAAGAGGAACAATTGTAATAATCTCAACAATAAAGATTTATTAAATTTTTAAAAAGTGAAAATATTCTGTATTATATTTAAAATGATGAACATTTGTCCAAACCCATAGAATGTATACTGAACCCCATAGGGATTTTGGGTAATTATGATGTGTCAACATAGGTTCATGGTTGTAACCAGTATGCCACTCTGGTGGGGGTTGTTGATAATGGGGACAGTTATATATATGTAGGGGCAGGGGTTATATGTTAAATCCCTGTACCTTCCCTTAGATTTTACTGTGAACCTAAAACTGCTCTAAAAAAAAGTCTTTATTTAAGAAAAAACAGGAGGGAAAAGGGAAAGAGAAAAAGCGGAAAAGGAAGTGAAGAGAAGAGCAGGGAGAGAGGAAAGAAACACACTAAAATGCCATCTGGTGAACTCTTTTCAGATTCTATGATTTCTGCCAGTTCAAGCTACATTGTTTTAACTCTTATAAAGAGCTGGAATTAAGGCCTTACCTACCATTTGCCCATGATCAATTTCTGTAAACAGTTTTCCAGAGAGTACAGTGATAAGTAATCTAGACAGTGAAACTGTAATACAACAAATTATTTTGCTTGTCATTTCTTTTTAGGTGATAATAGTAGAACTGTGAATGTGGATTCCACTGCAATGACGTTACCTGTGTCTGATCCAACTGCGTGGGCCACAGCAATGAATAATCTTGGAATGGCACCACTGGGAATTGCTGGACAACCAATTTTACCTGGTATGCTATTTTAATCACCTCACAAATACTTATTTTTATTGACCAGGTGGTCATAAATATAACAGTATGATAATTTGTTTTGGTGTTAACATTTACTATATTCTGCCTAGAGTGTACATTTTTTTGGTAACATAAGCTTTATTAAGTCTGAGTGGCCAGTAGTTACTGGTGTACTCCCTATTGCTCTATGAACAAGTAGGGTGTATATCTGAGGCATGGCATGGTCATTGAACATTTAAACAACAGGATTTGGCAAGAGATTATGCAGCTTCTCTAAAATTATTGATCTCTTAGAAGAGGCAAATAAACATGGAACTGGAATAAGAACTGACTGAGTCATCCCCAAAAATCTGAAATTCCTAAAAGGAAAGAAAGGAACATTTGGTAACTTTTTATATTTTTTAAACAAGTTAACCCATAAGAGAATGGTCATGGTGTCCCTAAATCTATCTTCATAAAGATAAAATCAGGAAAAAAATGCCCAGCACCTGAAGGGTTTATAGTTTAGACACAAAAAAATCTTCCTGGACTGTCAGAGCAATTAACTATTGGAATGGATTTGTGAAGACATTTATTAGGGAATTGCCATCTCAGGAAACTTGACATGCTTTGTAAACATCCTAAATATTAATCTCCCCAGATTCATTTAATTGTGGTCCTACTTTAAAGCATGACAGGAACAGGCAAAATTAGGACTACTCAAAATGTGCTCTGCCTAACCTGGGAGTTAAGAATCCGGAATCTTAGGCCCCAGCCCAGACATACTGACTCAGAAGCAGCATTAACATATTCCCTAGATTATTCATAAGCACATAAAAACTGAGAAATGGATCTAGAGTGATACCACGTTGTTGTGCCATTTGTTTATATAATTAGCAACTCCTACTCCCCAAGAAATAACTTCACAATTCCAGACTAGATTTTGAATTCTTGTAGGTTATAATGATGTTAAGGTAGGGTAGGCAACAATGATACATAATAATCTTCATAATCAATTAAGAAACATGATTACATTGAAAGCTTTGAAACAGGCAGGCATCAGAACAACCAACATGAAGAAAAATATGTGCAAAAGAAATGGGTGAAGAAAAAAAGGAGCTTGGATTCCATATGTAGCAGAGGCAAAGAACTGTTTCATCAAACTATAATTCATACCATGAACTGTAGGTGACTAGCCCCCTTTGTTAACATCTTGTTTTCTTAAGGACTATGAAGAAATGGCTTCTCAACAGCCCCTTCAACCTTGTGATCCAGTGATCTTTGAGCTATGCTTCAGGAAAACTTATTGATTTTTTGAAAACCTGGTCTTAGAAATATTGATATTTAGTTCAATAGTGTCCTTCTTGTCATAAAATGTGGCAATATAGCTAGACTAGACTGACACATACTTTGTAAAGCTATATGTAAAATCACTTGAGGTATGTGTAAACTGATTTTTCTCCTCTCTGTATTATTTTAGGAAGACAGTTTTAACATTAAGATTAGGACATAGGCTCTGACTCTATACTGTGTAGGTTTAAGTAAATCCCTGCTCTGCCATTAAGTAGCTGGGTAACTTTTAGAAGTTACCTCTCTGTGTCTCAGTTTTCTTTATAAAATGGAGATAATAGCCGCATTGTCACAGTGTTATTATGAGGATTAATGAGTTAATACATGTAAAGTCTTAGAATGATGTCTGGCTCACAGTAATCTCTCAATGAATTTGTCTATGTTTTAAGTTCACATGTGATATATAGTTCACAAAAAGTTGAATCATGGCTCATTTGTATTCTTAATAACAGTAAAGTATAATGAATGCAGCTGTGAATTTTTCCCCCCTGGAGAAGACTGGACAATGGCAGGTGAAGAGAACAGTGTATATCTGACAGTGCTAATGACTGTTCCCTATAAATGTGATGGTTTCTCAAAAATGACAGATTGGCACCGTACTCCAATACTGCCTAACTTTCTTCTTGCCAAAGTCTGAGGAACAGGATCCCTGCAATCTTTATTAAGTAACTAGAGGCCCAGTGTACAAAATTTGTGCACAGGGGGTGGTGTTCCTCACCCGACTGCACCCTCTTCATTCTGGCAATCTGACATCCTTCTGGCAATCCAGGCTGCTGGCTCCTAACCACTCACTTGCCTGCCTACCTGATCACCCCTTACCCCCTCTGTCAGCCTGATTGCTACCTAACCACTCCCATGCTGGCCTGATGGCCCCCAACTGCCCTCCCTGCTCGCCTGATGGCCCCCAACTTCCCTCCCTGCTTGCCTGATGGCCCCCAACTGCCCCCTTCCTGCCAGCCTGATTTCCCCCACTGCCCTCCCCTGTCAGCCTGATCACCCCTACCCACCTCTGCCTTGACCCCCACCGTTGTGGCTTTGTACAAAAGGAAGTCGGATGTATGGAAGATGGCCGGTCACCTAGTCTAATTAGCATATACCCTTTTATTTTTATAGATGTTTTAACTGAACAGGATAAAACATCTCCCCAATTCTCTTCCCACCCATAAAATTCCTTAAAATGTAAAAAGCTGCAATGGCCCTGTAATTCAGCTATTTTTCTGTCCCTTAGAAGATTTCATATTGAGCTTTGTCATGTCTTATTTGACCTATCTGTAACAATAGAAAAGTCTTTTGGACTTGATTAAAACAAATGATAGATAAGCTTGCTTGTTTTCCGCCAGAGCTCACATCCATATTAACATGGATGCTGAGTCTTTTAGACTCATAGCTGTCATCAGACTAATGTCTGGCTTATTATATTCATTGAATGGGGAGCAGAAACAGACCATCTCTAGGGTGTGGTGTGGAGCTTCCTTTTATCTAAAATGGTGTTTTATACAGCTGCTGTTCAATAAAGTTAATCTACAATGATGGCAGATTAGGCGGTCTCCTCTGGCTGCCGGCTTTCTTTCCTGAAAGGATATTTGCTTTTCCAAACTAGTCAAATAAGACTAATGTTAGATTTCACATGAAAAGATGCACCAAAAAGAGTTAAGCTTTCTGTTTAGAAATCATTGTTCTCCCCATCATACCAGATAAATCTAAGGATGGGCCAATTAAGGGGCATCCTTTGAATATTTTGTGCTGCTTCCTTTATTTTTCCCTCAATTAAAATATCCTTAGTATTTAAATGTGGAGCTTGTGAAGTCCCAGGAGGAAAAGAGTCCCTCATTATGTGATTCCACTGTATTGACTATGCCTCATCCATAATGAGAGATGTTGGAAAATATGAACTTATAGAATTTACTAGAGTCCCAGTGCATGAAAATTCATGCACTGGAGCGGGGGGTGTCCCTCAGCCCAGCCTGCCCCCTCCCATAGTCTGGGAGCCCTCAGGGGCAAGAGGCGACTCAGTGATCAGTAGAAGGCAACGCCCCATCACACCTCTGGTGCTGCTGCTGCCACTTCCAGCAGCACAAGCCTCAGCCAGCCCTGTTTACCTGAACCTTGGATGGCCCTGGGAAGCTGGGAAGCCACCATCTGAGGCTTGCCTGAGTCTTGAGCCAGCTCTGGGTGGCTGAGGGTGGAGGGGATTGGGAGACTCTAGAAGCAGGTGTGCAGAGTGGCCAGTCCCGCCTGGGGATGAGCCTGGCCTTGCCATGTGCCTGCCACCCTGGCAGGGCTTAGGGGACTGGGGGCCACCGTCTTGTGGCTATAGGTGCTGACATCTTTGAGGGCATGGCATTCAATTAGCATATTCTCTCCTTATTGACTGTGGGTGCTGCCATATTTGAGAGTGGGGCAGTCAATTAACATATTTCCTCCTTATTGGCTATGGGTGCCACCATTTTTAATGGTGGGACAGTCAATTAGCATATTTGCTCCTTATTGGCTATGGACACTGCCATCTTTGCAACCATGTGAGGGTCAATTAGCATATTCCCTCTTTATTAGATAAGATTCCTAGAGCAAGACCCTGCCCTTCTATGAGCATTGTACTTCTTAAGAAGGCAGTCCTTTAAAAAAAAAAATTATTGTTTAAAGTATTATATATGCTCCCTTTTTTCCCCATTAAATCCTCCATCCCATACCTGCCCCCTCAAGCCCCAAGGAGATTCATGGTGCAAGCATTCAACTTCATTGTTGAAAGTATTATATATCCCCCTTTATTCCCCATTGACCCCCTCCATCCCACACCTGCACCCTCAAGCCCCAAGGAGATTCATTGTATTGTGAGTTCTTCCATAGTAGCTAATGATGTTTTTATTATATTTTGGTTTTTTTTGTCTATGTGTTTTTAGTTACTAGCACAGAAACTGGCATATAGTAAAACTAGTGGCCCAGTGCACAAAATTTGCGCACGGAGGGATGTCCCTTAGCCCGGCCTGCACTCTCTCCAATCTGGGACCCCACAATGGATAGGGCCTAAACCAGCAGTTGGACATCCCTCTCACAATCTGGGACCACTGGCTCCTAACCACTTGCTGGCCTGCCTATCTGCCTGATTGCCTCTAACCACTTCTGCCTGCCAGCCTGATCACTCCTTAACTGCTCCCCTGACAGCCTGATTGATGCCTAACTGCTCCCCTATCAGCCTGATTGGCCCCAACTGCCCTCCCTTGCTGGCCTGATCACCCCCAACTGCCCTCCCCTGCCAGCCCCAATTGCCCACAAAAGCCCTCCCGTGCTGGCCCGATCGCCCCCAACTTTCTTCCCCTGCCACAACCCACCTCTGCAGGGACCCGCCTCCACTGTGCACCTAGCCATCTTGTGGTGGCCATCTTGTAATGACGTCTCATGCGAGGTCCACCTAGGCTTTTATTAATATATAATAGATAAGTTTGGTTTGGGGAAGAGTGAGAGAATAAGCAAGCATATGAAAATCAAATTCTGGATACAATATTATGAGAACACATAGAAGGGAGTAATTAATAACAGTGAGGTGTTTTCATAGGCAGTGACACTGAGATGACCCTTGAAAAATGAGTAGGATTTGACAGGTAGAGATAAGTGCTGGGGGAGGGGAGGGAGATGAGAAAGACATTTAAGGCAGATCTCCTTATGAATTTAAG